TTTTTTTGTTATTGTTGTTGACTTTATAGCTTTATCTTTCTTTTTCAGGCCCCTTTACTATTTTTTTAAGTAGTTTAAAGCAAATGTTAGGTAGCATATTAAAGATCGAAACAAGCAAGCAACTGCAATAAAATATTTCTTTTGTAGCTGGAAAATTGTGATGATTGTGAATGGAAAATAAATGAAGATTTGATCAGTGAATACATATTGCTATACTTAACCAATGTGGAGCTCTGGTAGCATAGTGCCTAAGGCACTTGACTGCTAACCAGAAGGCTGGCGGTTCAAACCCTCCAGCCACTCCTCAAAAGGAAGATGGGGCAATCTACTTCCGTAGTGATACTGCCTCGCAAACCCAAGGAGGGGTCACTATGAGTCGGGTTTGACTTGACGGTACCAAACAATAACAACAACAACAACATACTTAACCAAACCAAACTCACTGCCCTCGAGTCGGACCCGACTCATAGCGACCCGTCCTTGGGTTTCCGAGGCAGTATCACTATGGAAGTAGATTGCCCAACCTTCTTTCCGAGGAGTGCCTGGTGGGTTTGAACCGCCACCCTTCTGGATTAGCAGTCAAGTGCCTTAGGCACTATGCCACCAGAGCTCCCTTGACATACTTATAGGGAGCTTATAAAAGAGTCTTTGTGATACAAGTCAATAATGGGTTATAGTGAAATGCCTGCTTTGCTGAACAATTTAAGTGTATTGAATATTGCTACTACTGATAGTAATAGCTATCATTCATTAAGTTCTTAATTTATCCAGGCATGATGTTTATTACTCACACCCAGTATCTTATTTGAATCCATAAAGCAACATTATCAAGTGAACATTATCTTCAATATATAGACTAGAATATAGGGCCAACATAGTAAGTGTTTTCCCAAGATTATAGACTAAGGGAATAGCAAAGGAAAAATCTGGAACCAACTCCACTTGCCTGCGAAGTGATCTCTGCTACTTTGTTATATTGCCCTGCATGGCATGTTGTTGTCATTGTTATCTGGGCTGTTGAATCGATTCCAATTTGTAGTGACAATATATGACAATGTAGAATAGCCCTGTAGGATTATCTAGGTTGTAATATTACAAGGCCAGTGAAAAAGAGGAAGACCCTCAACAATTTGGACTGACACAGTGTCTGCAACAATAGCTCAAACACAGCAATGATTGTGGGATGATGCAGGACTGGGGAGTGTTTTGTTCTGTATGTAGGGTTGCTATGAGTTAGAACTGACTCAATGACACCTAATAACAATAACATTATTTACAGAAGTTTCCTTGGTAATGGCACAGTGGTTAAGCACTCAGTTGCGAACTGAAAATTCGGTGGTTCAAATCCACCAGTGGCTCCATGGAAAAAAGATGTGATAGTCTAATTCCATAAAGATTACAGCCTCGGAAATCTAATGGAGCAGTTTTACTCTGCTCTACAGGGTCATTATGAGTAAGAATCAATTCTACGGCAGGTGAGTGCTTAACCATTGTGCCATAAATTACCACTAATTAAGTTCTAAAAGAACTCAGAACATCATGGCTGTAGATGGGTGTCAAATGTGATTCACTCAAAAATCCCTAAGCCTATTGCTAATTAAAACAGTCAAAATTAAAAAGGAAAATACATGACTTATGAAAGACACCATATAGAGACAGTCTGCTATGGAGAAATAAATAAGCAAGCAAACACTGGCATTGGAATCAAATGATTTGGTCCAAATGCAAGCTCTTCCACATACTAAAGTGTTATTTACTCTCTTCGAATTGTACTTTCTTTATCTGAAGAGTGGGTATGAATCTGCTCTTCAAATGCTCATGAAAAGTAAAGTTTTCCCTTTCAGAAATTAGTGAAATATACTGAAACACTCAGAATCACCACTTTCCTCACCTGCAACAGATATACCCAAGAATTTGCGTCAGCTAACTTCCCAATATGAAGCAAGCCCTCCCCTTCCTCCTAAGAGTGATTGAGTCATTCTTCTATTAGATAATAGTAGCTACTTAAATCCTCCACCAGAAGCTCACTTCACACATTTTTATTTTGTGGAAGTCCTGGACTGCTACACTCTCTCATTCTTGGCATGAGTTTGGAAATGAATTGTGATGATTCCAAGATCAAGACTATGAAGGACCAGCCTGATGAGAAGCTAAATGCAAGGAAAGCTAGAGGTATGAAGGGTACATAAATGTGTACAAGAGCAGAATCCAGTTAACTTAAAAAAATATAAATTCATTCAAGAATGGGATTAAAAACCTCAAAGACCTGAGGACAGGAAAATAGAGAATAAATAACATTTATTTAAAAATAAGTAAAATATAATGATGATGATGATGAATAATTTAAGATGGTATATAGTAGATGATCTTGGAAGGAAGATGGAGCAATCTACTTCCATAGTGATACTGCCTAGGAAACCCAAGGAGGGGTCACTATGAGTCGGTCCCACTTGATGGCACATAACAACAATAGGAGATGATAGTGATAACTAACTTGTATTGAGCATTCAGTATAGTCTGTGTTGTACGCCAATGAGCCCTTGTGGCTCAGTTGTTAAGTGCTGACTCAAAGGTCTACAGTTACAACCCACCAGCTGCACTGCAGGAGAAAGATGAGACAGTCTGCTTCCTTAAAGATGTACAGCCTAGGAAACCCTATGGGGGCGGTTCTCTTCTGTCCTATAGGCTTACTATGAATTAGACTGACTCAGTTGGCCTCTGGTCTTGGTTTGCATTTGGATCAAATCATTTGATTCCAATGCCAGTGTTTGCTTGCTTATTTATTTCTCTATAGCAGATTGTCTCTATATGGTGTCTTTCATAAGTCATGTCTTTTCCTTTTTAATTTTGACTGTTTTAATTAGCAGTAGGCTTAGGGATTTTTGAGTGAATCACATTTGACACCCATCTACAGCCTGGATGTTCTGAGAACTTTTAGAACTTAATTGGTGGTAATTTATGGTACAATGCTACTCACTTTACATGCATTACTTCTCTGAATCTTCACAATAATCCTTCCCAATAACTCTTTGAGATTAGCACTATTGTTATGTACTTTTTCTTACAAAGATAAACTGGGGATCAGGAAGTTTAGTTATCCAACTTTATGCAACTAGTAAATGGTGCAGCTAGGATTGTACCACAAGCTTCCATTTATCCGTAATAAATGATTCCAGAAACCTGAATCCACCCAGTGCAATGATAATTTTTATAATAGTGTCCTTAAGTCATTGAAAACCCCTGAACTATCTTCTGAGTTACCTGAAGCAAATTAGAAATAAGATTTCTATTTGACATATATAGTGACTTGAGCTGTTAAATGTCAATTAATGCATAATTCCAACTCCACAAACAATATGGATAAATTACCTATTATTTTATGATATCCATTCTGATAAAAAGGAACAAAATATAGGGAAGAGAAGACAGAGAAGTAGTGTCAAGAATTTGGATAAAGGAATTCTACATCATGTTTCCATAAACAAAGCAAACATTGTATTTTCATTAGGAAAAATGAATGTGCTCATGGAATGATTTAACTTTTGAGTTGATGAACTGATTTTGTTTGAAAACAGTACCAATATTTATAAGGATACAAGTTAACAAGAGTCATTATTTATCCCTTATTTATTTATTCATCTAGTAAATATTGAGTGCCCAACTTTTACTTCAGTTATGAAATTCATTCTTCTCTCAGAACCCTGGTTAGATAAGGTGTCTACCGCAAAGGACCCAATTGCTTTCTCACTAAAAAAAACACCATTAGGGGACAGGAGTTGGATTAATGGTCTATGTCTATCAGGGAGAGAGGACAAAACTGTCCTTTAGAAAATGGGAACATAGGCCTTCCCTGCACTGGTATGGGTCCTGTGATTTTCAGCTAAAAAATCAGAAATTTTGTTACTCAAGAGTAATGAGCATACTTGAGATCCTATAATATGGAATGAATACTGACAAGAAGGAAACTGTTACTTCAAATATTTACACATGGGCGTAAATATTTGCCCTGAGGTGAAGATTTAACCAACTATTTGCTATCTTCTCTGCCAACTCATAGCGACCCTATAGGACTGAGTAGGACTGCCCCATAGGGTCTCCAAGGCTGTAAATCTTTATAGATGCAGACTGCCATATCTTTTTCCCTAGAAATGGCTGGTGAGTTCAAATCTGACTCCTTGATTAGCAGCCATTGCAGTACCGGGGCTCCTCACATAATTAGATAGTCATATATCTATGAACTACATGCTTTATCAGCTTTTATTGTAATGGTGACTTTTTCTTTTGTAACAATAAGACCACAGTTAGAATAAATGTAGGAAATTATGTAAAATGGGTCAAATGAATATCGAGGTTTCATTCCTATCTTTATTTTTGTCAATAACTCCAATTTCAAGATTCAACTTTTGTGGAATAAATATTTGGCATAAAATTATGAACTGAATTCTTTGAGACAAACTTTGTCAATTAATCAACTAAAGTTACTTGTCTGACATTCGACACTCATTTATGATATATTAACTATAAAACACAGTGTAGGTGTGTACATACATGTGTGACATGTGCACATGATAAATGTTGAAGACATTAGGCTGTCTGCCTGTGGATGAATTTAACTCAGTCAAACTGGATTAGGAATTTCTTAAGGAGTCCTTGAAAGAGAGTAGACAAAGTATCAACTTTATATTAAGCTATTTAGACTCAGATATCTGGTCTTGAATCCTTAAATCTTAAATTTACTGGTTGAATGTGTGACAAAGAGAAAATTACTTAAAGTCTTGAACTACGCGTATTTTTTTCTGGTAAATGTGGGTGATAAATTATTTGTAGAGTCGGTGGGAGGACTAACAGTAAGGAATGCAAAGCACCAAGTACAGACAGGATCCAAAGAATTGTTTGATTAATAAGTGAAATCCTAAAGATGAGGAATCTGTTTCTGTAAAGAGTTACAGCCTTGGAAACCCTATGTTGTTGTTGTTGTTGTTGTTATGTGTCATCGAGTCGGACCTAACTCATAGCGACCCCTCCTTGTGTTTCCGAGGCAGTATCACTACAGAAGTAGATTGCCCCATCTTCCTTCCAAGGAGTGGCTGGTGGGTTTGAACTGCTACCCTTCTGATTAGCAGTTAAGTGCCTCATGTACTATGCTACCAGAGCTCCCTGGAAACCCTATGGAGTAGTTCTATTCTGCCCTATAGGGTCTCTATGAGTTGGACTCGTACTCAATGGCAGCTGGTTTGGTTTTTGGTTCTGGTTATCCATTGCTGTCTTTCTGATTCCATTTTCTGTTCCTTTAGGTCTTAATTTTCTTTCCTCTCCATGGTGGTGTCCTGCTACTGTGACTCTAGGTATCCTTTGCCTGGGATTACTGGTGACCATTATTGTGCAGATAATGCAATGTAAGTGCTGAAATAGGGAAAAAATAAGGAGGTTTAGAAACACTGTTTATACATTGGCTTCACAATAAGTACATAACAGCCTTGATTTAGATACATTTTAGGCAAAATATTTTGAGAGTGAGTGGGAAGATGAATTAGTATTTTGTTCTCATTTCTCAAATGAAGAGAGACATGGAGATTGTGAAGACAAGACGGTGGGAAAAAGATGATTTGAAGCTACCAATCCACAAGATCACCTGAGAGATCCAAAAGTAAAAGAAAATTCATGGAGTTCAAAATTTAAAATGTTGATAGAGATGTTTAAACACAGTTTAAAAATTAAGAACCAAAACACAACCTTACTCAATAAATTTTGTTTTTAAAACAAACTATACTTCAACTTTATAATATGGCCATTTAGGAAAGAGGGGATATTGAGAAGGAAAGAAGAAATGGAAAGAAAGGCAAGAATGGCTAAGAAGGAGTGATGTTCTCTGCCTGAGTATTTAAAGAAGTCTGATGATGTAGTGGTTAAGGCATTTGGCTGCTAGTCAAAAGATCCATGGTTTGAATCCACCAGACGCTCTGTGGAAGAAAGATGAGGCAGTCTGCTTCCATAGAGATTTACAGCCTTGGAAACCCAATGGGGGTCACTATGAGTTGGAATCAACTCAATGTAGTAGGTTTAGATTTTTGCTTTGGCTTGTGTATTTAGGTTGTAGTTATAGGTTGTTTTTGTTTGTTTTGTTTTGGTTTGGTTATCCAGGGTCCAGGCTAGCCAACGGATTTTGAAGTACTATTTAGTTCCTCAATTATTTTTCAAGGTCACAAAACTATTTGGTTTTGTTTTTTAATATGTACATGTGTAGAGCTTTTCCTGATGTTTGGGAGCAGTGGCTGTGCCTCAGTGGTATTGATTGGAATAGTAGTACTCTAGGCTTTAATCACTTTATAGCAGGGTCACATATGGCCTTCAAGTCAGGAGTCTGCTTTGAACTGAACCATCATATACTTCTGGAACTGAGATATAAGACCCAGACATTCATTGCCTGTTGATTTCACAACTTTTGTTTCATCTCCACCCTTTCCTAAAATGTGCTGTGGCAAGAAAATAGTTGTTTTGACCCTTGTGAGACATCCACTAATAATTTTGTGTGGGTGGGTGTCTCAAAAAAAGGGTAAGTGTCACAGTTTTTAAATAAAATTAGGAAGTCTAGAATGGTAGACAGAATGAGAGGAGATATAGTAGAGAACTTAAGATACACAGAGAGAAAAATCACTAATGACATGTTCTCTAATGGTTACCGAGTCTGGTTGGAGTCTATTTTAGAATATCTGTATTTTATTTATACCCCTGATATACTACTTAAATTATGATTAGTTTTTAACTTGTATGAAACTCTCAATAAAAAGTAAAACCTTAGCAATTTGTTTAAACTCTGGGAATTTGTTTAAAAACCCTGCCACAGTTATTGACATTTATATATATATATACATGGAATGTTGAATGTCTTTCAAATCCATAATTTCTGATTAAATTTGAGCCACCTTGCAAGCAGCTACTGTGTTGTCAAAAATAGATTATTTGGTTCTATTCTGATGTGTTTTTTTTTTTTTTGGGGGGGGGATAGAGTCTTGATCCAACTATGATTTAGTTTCCCAGGTGTCTGATCTTCTAAAGCAACAGCAAGCAAACCTTACTCAACAGGAAAATGCACTGGAGGGGCAGATGCTGGCCCAACAGCAGGCAGAAGAAGCTTCCCAGGAGTCACAAAAAGAACTCAAGGAAATGATAAACATTCTTACTGAGAAGCTGGATGAGAAATCCAAGAAGTACAGGGAACTTCAACGCCAGAACCTGAATCTCCAAGAAGCTCTGAAGAGAGCAGCAAACTTTTCAGGTACAGTGGGAAGGTAGTAAAAACTTCTGTTCAGTTTTAACTATTTTTCAGAAATGTTTCTAGACCCAGGACTGGCATATTGATATATGTATTATCATTCATTCATAATGTTCTATACCACAAGTTCTCTACCTCTGTATGAGTCCCGTCTTACCCCAAATCTTTAAGATATAGTATTTAATTTAGTTTTTCTTCCTCACAAGGACCTCTTCTTTCTTTTTCAAGTTCTAGTTTTGAGATTTTTCTAGAGGAACGTTTCCATTGTCACCTCTGGTTACAGGTCCTTATTTTTTTTCTTTTTCAATGTATCTTAATCCTTCGATTTCTTTTCCTAATGGTCTCCTTTGTCCTTCCTTTGTCCCTACCTCTACCTTCATTCTTTGCTTCATTCTATGGCACTGTTTTTTTTTTTTTTAAAGTGTGCTCCTATATCAATTTAAATTAAGTCAATGGAAGTAGGTTGGTTTGGAACAGTTAGGCAGATACTTCAGATTAGACAAAAGAGTGATGAGTACAGGAAGTCAGTTTACATGAGAAGAGTTGATCTGAATTGTCATAGTGAACTCAGAAACTAGTATGCATGTAAAAATGGTAGCATTTGTAAGAAAGAAATGATGATGTTAAATGTGACATTAATATAGAATCTATATACATCATTTAGTCTTTGTACAGTGTGTAATTTTAATTTTAGCCATAGGAAGAACTGAAGGGTGCAAGATGAAGCTATTTCCTGATTGAATCACTCTCAGAGCTACATTGCTTCCTTGGAGGTGCATGACTGGACATCCTATTCTCAGCATGAGTAACTGCCCTAGCAAGCAGAGAATTCTCCAGCTTCTTTCTTATAAAACTTTCACAGCTACCCATTCATTCATTTTATAGGTGAAAGAATTGAGAGGCAGTTAAATAATCATAATGCAGAATTGTTTTCTACAATGTTTTGTAGTTTATGTATCTCTTCAATATTTACGAAGTTATTTAAATTTCCAAAATAAACAACTTTTTAGACAAATTGATCTTTAGCCAATTTCAGCCATTTACTTAATCTCTTTAAGAAGGGATTTAGCATGGAAATAAAAGAATATATCATTTCCAAGAAGGCTTAAAGAAAGGAGACTTACATACTCAAGGATGTTGTTGTTGTTGTGTGCCATCGAGTCAGACCCGACTCATAGTGACCCCTCCTTGGGTTTCCGAGGCAGTATCACTACGGAAGTAGATTGCCCCATCTTCCTT